CGTCACGAACACTTTCATTTATATAAATTTCGCAAATTTACAGTATTCCAAGACGAGACTTAAGTAAAATCTTCTCTTGTGACATTAGGATGTACATCAGCTAGTTTAGTCTGCAATTAAGTGTATATTTCTCCATCAAGTCTCCTGTAATTCGTGCGAATTTGTGGCGGCTCACTACCTTAAAATTCCATTCGCTCGAGGCTTTCGCTCACCATTTTGCCTTGGCGAGCATTATTTTAAAAATCACAAAGAGCTGAACGAAAGCAAGCCACGGCTCTTATCGTCTTAAAAAAAGTAATGGCACGTCGAAAGAAGCAGCTATTTAAATTCCCCTAAGAATTGCTGTTTCGGTCATACGTGCAGTGGGCAGTTAACTTCAGAATTCTAAACGAAAAACAACCTTGACTGTTTTTATGATTGCAGAGTGTGGCATTGCACCTCGAGAAAGCAAAACAGTCTCGGGAAAATGGCGTCCACAGACAAGCCCCACCTGGCCCTGGACAGCACTTCTTCATTTCAGCATCTTTGGAGATATCGAAGGCTGCATGGCAACCTTGATAGACAAGGAATGGCTCATAACCGCTGCTCGTTGCCTTTACGTGGCGCTTGGACCTTCTGGCTCAAAATTTGCTCCAATCCCTGCACCTCACATCAAGGTTGAACTTGGAGCGTTTAAACGAGGGTCATCCAATCACCAACCAGTACTTCATCAAGTGTCCGAAATAGTAATCCACAAAGATTTTGATCCCAAGAAGCTGTCAGGAAACATCGCGATGGTTCGTTTGGCCAAACCAGTGAAATTCACCTCCAAAATAAGCCCAATCTGTATGCCGACTAGAACGGAGGTTCAGAGCATTTTACAACCGGGAAACGCCATCGGTGTTGTAGTTGGGTGGGGTAAGGATGAAAATCACCGAGTCAAAAGCTCTCTGCACGAGGCAGCTGTATCTGTAGTACATCGATCTCATTGCAAGTGGGCCAACATGAGCTTCGAGGTTAACAACATGATATGCGCTGGTTACAAGGAACAGCAGGACAAGACCTGTATTGGTGACAGTGGTTCCCCATTAATGTTCTCGGTCGCTAGCCGTGGTCAACACCCTACTAAGTGGGTACTAGGTGGAGTCATGAGCTGGGGCTTGAAAGAATTTCTGCATGGCTGCCATAGCAACTACCGTTATACTGCATACACCAGTGTGGGGAGAAACTTGAAGTGGATCAAGTTCAAAGGCAAGAGCCACAAGGGGAGTACCAAATAGGGACTCAGCAGCGAAGGACTTTCAAATACTGACTAAGGAACAGAGCTTTGCCAACATTAGTGCCAATCATTCGATGTAGTATATACAGCGTAAAGTTATAGACTGATATGACTGCATTTTCTCGAAAAACGTAGTCGGGGAGCCCGAACTTAATGGATGGATAAAGATACATGTAGGCGTATGCTTTTCTCTTGTTTTGTTATTCCAAAAAAGACATGCTATTTTCTTGTGCACTTTTTTGCTGCTGTGTAAAAGGAATTTGGAGAAACCGAACAACTTTTTGGTCTGCTCTTTGTTTTAGCAAAGATGCCCACCCCTTTCTTAATTCCCAGCTCTTGATATAACATGCTCCATTCGTTTCCGGTCACGTGATAAGAGTGGTCGCAGAAACGCAGGCCTCCTTCACTTAGAATTCCGTTTTTATTTTCCTCGCTAATAGGTAACAGCCAGCAACGCCGGAGTTTATGTGTAGTTTTAAAATTATCATTGCGCCTGAGCGCTTCTTTGGCTTTTTTTGCCTCGCGGTAAACACGGAAATCATTTTTCTCTGCAAATACGCTTTATTCGTACGCTTGCTGGAATTATTACAATATTAGAGCACTCTTTTTACGTATTTATTTGTTAATTTCGCGACGTCTCTCTGTTTTATCCTTCGATTGAATTGCTTTTCTCAGTAAATCGGCAGAACAACGCTTGATATAGTTTGGGAATTTAAAGACTAGGCATGTGGCATGTTAGCCTCCCACGCAGACGGTCTTAGGGGTTCTTCACGCGTTCCAGCCCCACTAGTGGTGTTAGTGGGGCAGGAACGCGTGACGATCCCCTAAGAACGTCTGCGTGGGAGGCTAGTGGGATATGTATTCGCCTCTGGTGTAATTTTCTCCCTTGTTAACCATTGAACGCGTATGAGTGACATGCATTCAATTTCTGGTTCGATTGCATTCGTTTTGTGATTTTGTTTTAATCACCTTGTTTCTTGTATGTATGTAAGCATATTATTTTGAATGCTGCAGCTTGCAATCAAACAAATGAAATAAAGTTATTAATAAAGTCAATGTTTGAATGAAACGGTAATTGTGATCATTCAAACGCAACTGATCGAGGTTTTGTGATTTTGGGCATCTGTCAATGAAAATATCTGACTTAAATGTTTATTCGAAGAAAAAAAGCCCATAGTCGAAAATTTCTTTAGCACTTCCTACAGCTGCATCTGATAGTATGAGCTTCTGATATTGCCCGCTCAAGTTACATGGAATGGATTCCCTAGTAAGGAGAAGTTATACACCATGCTATGACTGTTTGCCTTACTGCATACACGTCCTGGTAACATTTTTCCTAGAAGTAAACCCCTGAGGGGAAAAGCAGACTTGTGGCAAGGGAACCGCCTTACCCCCAAACACTAACTAGAAATGGTTATTTTAGTGGGTATCTGGTCCAAAATATGGCGGGGTCGGGAACAACTCTGTAAATCTACACCTTCAAGAAAATGATATTTCAAGAAAAGAATATTTGAAAACAGGCGCGGATCCACACCGGTTTCCACCGTTTTACGGAAATCGGTCAGATTTTTCATAATAAATACATTTTTAATAATAAAAAACACTTTCCAAGTTGAAACCTGGGCAATATGCTACCTGAGTGACTCGAAAATCCAGGATAGGGGACTTAAAGAGTTAAACACCAAAACATTTCTTGGGAAGCCTGCCCCCCAGACCCCCTTAGATAGTGCTTGCGCCTTCGGCCCTCGTTTAGGAAATCGGTTAGTATTTATTCCAGATCCGCGCCTGGAAAAGGACATTTGTTGTTCATTCGTTAGCCTCCAAACCATTAATGTATTAAAAATAAGATGTCTGGTTAGTTTATTTAAGCAAAATTATGTGATGCGGATGAGGCGCCAAAGGTTAATACTGCACGGAAATATTTAACACAGTGGGGAAATACTCAACTCTAGAACTGAAAAACCTGGAAATCGACACAGAGACACTGCAAATTTGCTGGTTATTTTCCTGGCTACACACTGCCAACAGAAATAGCTGTCATTTATGCCGAGTCCTCTTAGCAGCTAACTTGTTTTGCCTACGAACAGCATCCTTTCGTTTTCGTTTGTAATCCTGAGTGAGTTCAGACCTAACTGATACCCAATATTCATTAACATCTTCCTCGCTCCCTATCCGCATAAACGGCGAGTCATTGTCTGAAATAAGAACATTAGAAACTGTTACAAAGAAGCAACCAAACACAAAAATAAACTTCGGATAACATTGACTGTGGAAAGCACAGTCTCATTCTCCTTAAATATCATTATAGCGGAGCTTTATAGGTAAGAAAACATGGTTCAGTGGAACCTCTATTCAAGGGACACCCTTGGGACCGAGGCAAATGTCCCCTAGGGTTTGTTAATAATTAACCAACAAAAGAAAAATAAATATTCATGACCAGTATCACCTCTAGTATTTTGACCTTAGGTCACCGTGACCTACAGGACAGAGGACCACAGACTGTTTATTTCTTATCTCTACATTATGTGTTAACTTCAAACAAATACACTGCATCGATTTTATAAGTGAAATAGATCAGTTTGTAAAAGCCTCCATAATTGTGATTAGTGTACACTTAAAGACATCAACCCTCTTTGTGCTCAGTCACTTTTTGAGAGCTAAGGTGTCCCCTGAAATGGAGGTCAAACATAGGTTTCGGGACCCAGAACAAAGTCTCCCATTCTCCTGAATAGAGGTGTCCCTTCATTGGTTCAATAGGATGTAATAGATACAAAGATTATGTAGGCGTTTTTCAGGAACCAAATTTTGTGTCCCCTGAATGGAGGTGTCCCTTGAATAGAGGAGTCTCAAAGGAGAGGTTATACTGTATTCGTCCTTACAAGTATTTCTAGTTGTCTAGTGACCGAACAGAGAAGATAAATATACTGTGCAAATAGATACGTACGTCCATAGAACCGTGGAAGGCAACAAAACGATATAACGTTAGGAGACCAAAATGTGCATTCTCGGCGTCTTCGCTTTTTCCCGCCACACGCAGGAACCTCTCGTGGCAAGTTGGGACTCCGCCTTGAGGGTATGTCTAGCCCGTTTTAGAAAAAAAAGAAGGGGACTCGCCTTTTTTTTCTGATTGAAAGCACACAACATTGAGTTGTAGCTAATGACCAAAGACAACTTACCATTGATGCGGTTTTCCAATTCCGGATCATCTGCATGAAAAAAGAACAGTTCCTTCAGCTGAAAAGTCGATTTATTTAAAGTGTCTCCATTACCAGTAGCAGCGTCAATACCCATGTCTTCTTCATTGTAATCATCGCTATCGCTACTGCTGTCATAAGGAAGCTGGGTTGTTTGCCATGGATTCTTTAGTATCTCTTCAGCTGTACCCACAGGTTTTTCATCCGCAGCAGCTAAATCAGAGTCATCTTCCGTTTCTTGAGGAAGAAAACTGAAAGAAGATCCACTCTGTAAGCAAGAGAAAAAGGTAGCTCAGATTAATGACCGGGACATATCAAAATAAAATGCGCCTTAAATAAGTGTGGCCTGTGTAGCTAGCGATTTTGGTTAAGGAGGGAAAATGACGAGCGGTTAAGCTAAGAGGAGAATGAACCGGAAATAACGAGGATCACTTTTCCCGGGGCTTCGCCGCGTTCGCGCTTTCGCAGATTCACCGCACATTTGCGCGCTCGTCGGACGAAACAGAGAGTTTCGCACTGTAAATAGTGTTTTCTATGGTAAAGTGGTAAGGCACTGACTACAGAGTCATCGAGGCCAAGCACTGAGTCGAAATCGTAAGCAGTTACTTTGTAGGTTAAGTTTTGTTCCTAGAAGAACCGTAAGTATTTATCAACACAGCTCTCACCTCTTTCTTGTTCCCAAACAGCTCAGCCAGTGAAGACGTGTTTGCTTCATAATACTTTTCGTGCGACACTTCGGGCAACACCGGGTCATCCACTACCTGAAAAGCACTTGGTTCAGCCTGTATTCTCTCCTTGTCTTTCTTTGCAGTAGTTTGCTCAAACTGCTTATGGTCTTCTCGTTCAGGGTCATAATGTACTGTTACAGAGCCTCTGTATATTCCCACACGGTAGGGTAAATGCAAATACAAAAAACAATGACAACAATTAACTCTTTAACTCTTACACATACAACTTAGTTCTAACGCTTGAGTATGTGGTTAAAATCATTGGGTATAGCCATCCAATTGAAGCCTCATTAGTAGGTCATTCACATGATACTAATTGGCATGTAGTTCTAACTTTTGAGTCTGGACGAAGTCATATGGTACGACCATTCAAATGAACCTTACGCATGCATCAGATCTTTCACATGGCACTAACTGGAACGTATTTATAACTTTTGAGTCTGCGGCTAAATTCCTATGAGGAGAAAACTTTCAAATCAAACTTCTGCAGCAGTACTTTCACATTACACTATTTAGAGTGTAGTTCTGTACAAAATTTCTGTACTCCCTGAAGTACAGTAATCCAAACCATTTCCATCACAAAACGTTTCAACAGGTCGCGTAAACAAAAGACTCTTCAGTAATATTATACACATACCTAAATTCTGGCTCCTTTTCCTGGCCTCCTTGGTTGAATTCAGCCCTGAAATCTCCGCCCAAAAGGTTGCTGAGAACTTTTAACGCCATCTCCTTTTCCTGTTTAAGATCTGCGCTAATGCCATCCTCTACTTCCTTGGTAACATCTTTACTGTTGTATTTGGATGAAGATCCCTCCTCGTCCACTTTGTCAGATTGTGTGTGCGCATCATGATCATCTTCGTCTTCTTCTTCGCTTTCAAGGAAACGCGAATCAAGCTCAAATCGTTTGTCTCCTCCAAACGTTCGTTGCAGTTTAAAAAGCTGAAAATTAACAAAATGGCCCGTTAAATACACACACACTTACACTGTATGAGTGCTGTGAATATATGTGAGCGAATTGGAATTAAGAAATATTGGTTAATGAGGAGGGAGAAACCGAAGTACCCGAGAAAATGCCTCTTGAAGCAAGGGCGAGAACCATGAACAAACGCAATCCGCGCACAGTGTCGCTTCCGAGATTCGAACTGGGGTCGTAATGGTGGCAGGTCAGTGTTTAACCACTGCCCCACCCTTGCCTCCCCAATAAATAAATAAATAAATAAATAACGACAAAATTAATGTTTGGAAGAACAGAAGATATTCAACTCTGGAATGACTTTCAGATCTCAACCAGAGCCACTGGTTTAAATGCCGTAAAATAGAGGCATTTATTTACTTACTCAATAATTTCGATAGAAAGAAATGACTCAATACTGACTCCTAAATGTGTTACGAAAGAATAATGATCCTGGCCATGAACAGAGCTTTCAAATTACATTTAAGGTCTAAAAAAAGTACAGTTAACAAATCGACAATAACTTTTCAAGTCAAAACTCAAGTGGAACCACGAGCTGCAGGGGAGTGTGTTGACTGCACAGTTTGCACTATGGTCTGTACCCTAATCGACCATAGCTCTCGACCAATCAGTGCACGAGAAATCGCTCAGTTATTGTAAAAATTGGATCCATACCTCTTCACCAGCCTTTCCCTCAAAATGGGGTTTCACTGTGACTATTTGACTGTTTTCATTGCCACTGTCATTTACATTATCTTCATCAGTGTCACTGTCTAATCCAAGCCAAGAACTTGCTTTGGAACCTGAAACCTACATGTAGGAGGCAATAATAAAAAAAGTTCATTAGTTACCATCAATCTCTGTAGTCTAGCTGTACGTGCATGTACTAGTGTTCTACCAGAAACCCAAAACAATTTATTTGCGTCTTCACGACTGTGGTTGGATAATGACGATCTAATTGGGAGCTTTGGATGAAAACGTATCCAGTACAGAAATGGGTGGAAAAACAGTTGCTGAAGTTGCAGCTTTGGCAACACACATAAAAACAAAAAATGAAAAAGTAATTGAATAAATTTGACAAATGAAAAGGAGGGTTGAAAGCAACGAAGACAACGCCTGTGAAAATGACAAGATGATCGGAATAATGAAAAATGTTACCCCCCAAAAAGGGCTTGCTTTTCTGGGAACTCCTGCTCATAAAATATGAACGTAAACTGACATTCATTTACTAAGATGTCGAAAACTACGTGCAGTGGATACAGGGCATCTGGTAGAGTGCGAAAAACAAAAATGGAAAATAGGGCGGAGATTTTGCCAAAAAGTGCGGGAAATAGTGTGAAAAAACAACAACAACAACAACAATTATTAGTGAAAAATAGTGCGATTTTTGGTCGATAGTGCGGGATCGCGCGCTCACCCTTTGCCAGATGCTCTGTCGATAGCCTGCGTTGCAAAGCGCTCCTGAGCGACAAAAGCGTATACATGTAGTTGGGACGAGGGCACAAATTCTTGTTCCGCCAACCGTTTGCACCCTGCCACACGAAAACACTTGCAACACAGGCCACTGCGCCTAACGCGTACTCTTTAAGAAAACCCCAACCTTTTCACCCAAAGAATAAGTAGCTTTCTCCATTGAGCTACTTCCATCTTCACCGTCATCATCACTGTCACCAAAGATAATGTGGTTCTTTCCATCACGCGTGCTCCTGTCTAAATCTTTTAGCGCATCTTTGATTGTGTTTCTCTGAGCCAGAACATTTTTCTTTTTACCTTCCAAGGCATCGAGTCGCTTTTCGTTTGACATCTTCTTTTTCGACGTATCTTTGGTAACCTGTGGCTGGACGTCCTTCACTACAAGAGATTGCGCTGTTGTCTCATCGGAAACTATGTGGGGCGACTTTGTGTTCGTACGAAGCCCAGAATTAATATTACACACACGGTCCTTGCTTACTACGGTAATATGATTTGTAATTTCCTTGTTCTCAGTTTCACTATCACTTGAACTATCGTTGCTGCTTTCGTCATCATGTTCCAAAGAAATGCGAATCCTTTTATTCAAGTCGCTATCTGTCGTTTCATCAGAACTGTCCGAAGATTGTCTATCACTCGCTATAGAATTGGTCTGTTCAAGGAAGTCATTATTTGGCGATACATCACTGCTGAGGAATACCTCATGAGGCCTATCATCCTTTCTCATCCGTATCTCTGAGCTAGCAGAGCTTTTAGATGCATTGATGAGGTCTGAAACTACCTCTGTATTCCTTGGTGGAATTTTGCGCAACATAGACGAATTGTCTTTCTCCTTTGGCGAACGTGAAGTTGTTACTTTCGGGCGTGAAACGTTACCGTCAGACTCACTCACCGCTTTAACTTCGGTTTCCTTTACATAAGAACGATTTGAATCCGATTCTGAAGGCGATTCAGATGATTCAAACGATTCAGATTCCACATCACTGCTATCACTTGAGCCTGAAAGCTTTGCGTCTTCAAATGTAACATCATTTGAACCATTTAATCTCTCAGCGTATTTCTTCCCGGGTTTTTCAACATAACTTTTATGCAACATACTATCATCTGCACCAAAACGTATCTTTTTCTGTTCATTTACCATCATTTTTGTTTCTCCCTCATTTTTCACCATTGCTGATCTACCTTTAACACTGTCTTTATCGTTTTCCAGCTGCAAATCCCATGTCAAGCCTGCCACACTCTTAGTTGAATCTTCAAGATTTATTTTCTTTAAGCAATGTGTTGTCTTACTCGGATCGAACTTTGTTATCTTCTTCCTGTCCTTGCGCCTTATGTACACAACGGGCAACACACGCCCAAACTTTCCCACAACCCAGTTCTTCTTTCCTGGAAGAGGAGTACCCGGAACCGCTTTTGGGAGAGTGTCAGGGACGGCCTCCATTTCTTCTTTATGGCGTTTCTCCCTTGGATTTGTCGTAGTTGCTTTATCCAAGGGTGTGGCATTGGAGAGATTGTGCTGCTGCTGTCTCTCTCGTTCGAGCCTGAAGTGTAAAATTGAACACAAGAAAGTTGCCGTGAAAACGTGTCATAAAAACCAAAGCTAATATATAGATTTGGCCAAGGCTAAAGGTGAAGTTCCTGTTGATAAATTCATCATTTACTTTAAACAATAAACTTTTAACCTAAAAAGAATCCACTTGGAGTTGAGCCTGCAATCAGTTGAAAACTAGGAACTTGTCAGCGGAGAATTTAAGAAAAAGCCACGTACCCTCGACGGGTCGGCACAACATGAATGTGTAATATCAGCTTGTGGGAACCCACACTAACTAGTAAGTATGGCATTTCACATTGGTTTGTGCCTGCGGTGCTGACTACCAAAATTTGGTAACCTGGGTACCAAAATTTCTTGAATGGATAGAAAACCAAATTATCTCAGCCTAATAGAGCGTTTATAAAAACAAAATTAATTTTACATATTTGTACGTGTGTAGTGAAGTGGAAGCTACTGTTTCCTGTGGTAATATTACATATTACTTACAGTCAAACCAGGTCAAGCTAACCCCCCAAGATTCCATTGATGAATTTACTAATCAAAAGTTGAATCCGTTAGTAGTTTTAGATTTCAGATTCATTTCTACAATCCTGCATACATAATGATCCGGGAATTCACATGCAAGGCAGTTGTGAAATTTTCTGCCCACTCAGTTTCCCTTAATTGGTGTAAATGTCTTCGAAGCAATTTTATCCATTTAAAGATTTTCAATCTGACCAAACACAGAGAAGTTCTAGTAAAATATTCACTGCTCATTATACATGCTGAAATGCTGATTTGAATTTGGCACTAGTTTATATGGGAATGACTAACCGATTCATTTTTCAAAATCTAATCAATTCAGTAATGCTGAGAATCTTCGGGTGGGGTACACTAAATTCTTCACCTGCCCTGACTGTAATGTACGTACATGTACCAAGTGGTTCTAGCCTGTATAAGAGACTATTGGTGTGACCAGTCAAATGCAACGTGTTAATGACGCCATATCCTTCCTATGGTACTGTTTATTATACTGTAAAGGGTGGCTCTAATTTTGAAGTATACATCTACAGTAGTACCTCAAGGTGCCAACATTTCTCCTAAGGGCAAACTTCCCATGAGTGACCATCTATCCAAGCATAATTTCTTACGTTCTTCCCATCTTAAGTTTTAAGAGTGTGGTGTCATCATTGTCTAGTTCATTATTTTTGTTAACAATGCCAATCACACATCCTTACTTGCTATGGAACTTGAGAAATTACTTGAGAATAGCAAAATCACAGCTTACATGTGGTGTCAAAGAAATAAAGTCTCCTAAGCATTAGTTATTATTGTTATTTTTTTTAGTGTATTAGTATTATCATCATCATCACCATCATCATCATTATTATTAGTAGTAGTAGTATTATTATACATCGTACTCACTATCTGTCTTCTCATTGGCTAAGAGCCTACAGTTAATTTTGGAAATCAGCCCAACCTACAGATTAGTTGGTTACCTGCTATCAGATAACTGACTAGTCTGTAGGTTTACAGGTCGTACACTTGATGGCCTTCTGATCCAGATGCAAAATATCAGCTTGCGAAGTTCGGGCATGCGCAGAAAGCAAAATTTGGTTTTAAAAGTGACATAGCAGTCTTGACTTTTACTTTTCGCTTTCTCTCCTCCCCTCTTTTTTCACTTTTCTTGCCTCATTTTTTTTTCTCTGGCTGGGCATTTAGTAGGCTTCATTTTGGTGGGAATAGTTTTTAGGAAAGCTTTTAGGATCTTAGGATTAGGTGAAAGGAAAGGTAGGTGGGCAACGGAACAAGATTTTCATGGAGATTTTCAGGTCAATGTTACATGGTTTTTTGCCTCTTCCTCCGGTGTCCTTGACTGAATTGTGCTCATTCTGGTATGGTTTGAAAGATTTTCGTTTGCACAAGTTAGCGGACAAAGGTCCTTTTTGTTAAAATGATGACCCAAAGGGTCGAAAGGACGTGGATCCGAACCATGTTTTGAGGGGCGAATGGGTTAAAAAGTCGGGAAAAAAGCCGTCTACTGGCGTCCGAAACTTTGAATTTTGGATTTCCTATTGACATGTTGTAGGAGTATAGTAAGTGTTTACTAGTGGAGGCTGATGTTGATTGTTACCGGCTAACGTGAAGCAGCTTTTCTTCTCAAAACAGTAAAATGCATGCTCTATTTAGGCTATGTTTTGTTACATTACATTCTGATTTATAATCTAGAAGTATTTTTTTAATTTTCACTTGACATTTCTACAATTAAATGTGATTAAAATGTTCACTGTGCAGTAAATTTTTTTTTTTACCTTACTCCGGGCTATTGTCTTCGAACCCCCGATAACTCGAACCTTTTTTCGATTTTATCAGGAGTCGACTGTATTTGCAGTTAATAGGCCACTTAACTGCCTTCAAAATTTTGAGCCAAGCACAAGGAACGATTGTTAAATGTTAAAGTGCCTCAAGGTTGATTTGGGGCTCACTGCCAAAATCCCTACATATATGCTGCAGGAGAGTAGTGCAGAAGTACTGAAATAAAACAGAAATACTCCCCACAGCCTTGCATGAAGAAGACAACTAAAGTGATCAGGGATTTTACAATTTGAAACATGTATCTATACCTTGTAAGAAAACTTTCCTTGGCAGCTTGAACCTTCAAGCAACAACCTTTCCATTTTGAATTGCTTAATAGCGAGACACCTGTCAATTGAAAAAAAGCAAAACATTTCTACACACATTGTATACTGCACTTTTCTTTACATGAACTGTACAATATCCGATATTTTAAAATTTTAGCGAGACAGTACATGTATTTTGTGAGGCTTCATTTTAGTGATTTCAATAAGGTAAATGGAATAAAAAGGACATCAATATTTCTAAAAACTGTCATCTAAAAAGCTTTATTTTCTAAACAAAATACTGAATTTCAAGCTCTCTACTCAAACTAAAACAATGAACATAATATGATTATTTCAGGTCAAATCTTCATCACTTATTAATGTGTTCTTTACCTATCAGTACATAAGTTGGTTGCTTTGTTGTTTAATTTCAGAACCAGTTGCAAACTACAACCCAAATATGATGTTGCCTTTGTAGGGGATTCAAGTATTATAGGTTATTTTTGTGGCAGGCAACTGCTCTCACAGCAGCACCAGCCTTGTTCCCCCAAAGTTCAAACAAACATACAAAATAATGTTCACAGAGTATTTGAATGCCCCCTCACCTTGAATGTTCAGACTACTAAAAACCCTAGTACGGGTTTGGGGAAATTGGGGAATCTCTTTAAACTCAAATGAAGTGAACCGCTACACAGGGCATAAAAAAGGTGCAGAAAAGAAACAAAGAAAGAAAGAAATTTGTGTACGCATACTTACATCTCTTAAAGTTACTATCTGTTAGCTTCATGTCAAGATAAGCAAATGTCTTGAGTGAGCAACCTGCATAAAAACAGACCACATTCAGAAAGTTAACCCAAGCCCTAATATATAGTGACCCACATTCAATTTCTCCCGCAACAATAACACTGCCTAATCAAACAGACAGGTCATGAGAATTAATGAAATGATCACCAAAGATGAACTGTGGTGATGTTAGAACAAATTCTCTCGAGCAGTACCATAAGGAGTGTATGAAGAACAGTGTGGAGAAGATGTATGTTGATGTTAAGGCTTAAAGGGTTAAAAAGCCCACACAAACAATATTAACAGTAACAGCTTTGTACGCCTCTCAAAGACAGTACCGGTAATATGGAGTTGTCAAATAAGTTATGACTGTGAATGACAGCAGCTTTAAACTTGGGACTTCAAATCACACAGTTTCGTAAATAACCACACAACTAAACTACAGTGTATGTGTAATATTGGCATAGCAGTGACTTGCAAGATGTGGTCATAACTAGACGGAGGCATAACTCTGCATTAAATGTACAGCCACATCTGCTGGAAGTGAGATTATTATTGCATGAAGTACTTCCTTGGTGGAAGTTTATAACATAACAGACATTAATTTCAAATTGTTAAAATGTAGCTGACTGGCTGGGGCAACTTAAACACAAAACAACAGTTCAGGGTGCAAAGAAAGTCATTTTATTATTCGGCAAGTTTAAGTAACATTTTAGCCCAAATTGGTAGCCCAAAAACCGTTTTGATGAGCAGATTGAACAGACTGTAATTTGAATTTCAAAAAAATTGTTAAAATGTAGCTGACTAGCCCCGGCTAACTTAAACTTTCTTTTGCAACAGTTGCAATAAAAATAATAATAAAAAAAAAAAAGTTACCATAATTTGATAGTCACTGAGTGGGAGAATGACTTGGATGTAATATATCAAGCATGGGAAGCATGCAACTTGTTTCATCACCAGGTGAAACACCAAGAAGAGAATTGAAAATATGACGCGCAGCAGAATATTTTGGACGAACTTAGAGGTATTTCAGCTGGTGATGAAACAAACTGTTGAATGCTTTGATGTTACTTCTCAAACAAAATGATTTTAGGAGGAGAAATTAACGATGCAAAAATGAGTGGTTTTTCAGCTGATTTCCAAACACTCATTCAACATTAATTTTCTTTTTATTTTCTTTATGAATTATTAATGAGTTTGAGAAGTGATCATACAGCACAATGTAGCAAAACAAATATTCCCATAAATATATATATCTTATTGGACAGTTTAGTGTGTAGTATCATGGGATATTTTTATGAGTAATGCCATATTTTGGTGAGCCCATAGGGAAAGTCAAAATACAAGAGACGAGTAAAAATATCCCACGATACTACACGGTAAACCGTCCAATAAAAGATTTATTATTCAACACGAGATACATGTTTTAAAAGAGAACTCAGTAAATATGTAGAACGAGAATGCGTAACTGATTAATGTGACTCCTTTGCAAGTCCAGTTTTCGCGCACTTTATATTCCTGATTCGTCTAAAATGCAAACTTGTCACACTAGCTTACTCAGCAAATCAAATTTTGACAGATTTCTCGGGTTTTCTATGGTGCTTTCAAACATTTGCTAGGAATACAGAAATGGAGTGACAAATATTGTGAGGCTTATGACCATGTCTTCTGGTTCTTATGTAAAACCAACTGCAAGAAGGTGCACTGAGCAGAGCAAATTGTGATGGAAAGAATAAAAAACTCCCACGAACTGAAGGAGTTTTAAAGTGCTTCTCGTAAACAACAGACTTGAAACCTCATCTCTGTCGTGTTTAGTACTAACGTTTTAAAAAGTCTTTGGAGAACATCTAAAGTCTTCCATATCGAGTTTCCTCAAATTTTAAAAGGACTACAAGTGAAGACTGTTAAGCTCCTTGATGGGATTAATTTGTATTTAATCAACGTTGTTTGTGTCATGGATTGTCGCCATCACCATGCATCTCATGCACACGTTCAGGTTTATTTTGAACTTCTCTGTCGTTGTATTTTAACATGATGTTTGTATGTTCTGACCATTTTCTAACAAATGGTGACATTTCATTGTTGAGGCAACTTTATTCTAAAGACACGGTTTTATTCAACCTTACAATTTCGGGAAATGATGCATTTTCTGCCTTGCCCGACGTTTGTAGAAAACTGGTCAAACCGGTCATCTGGAGTACAAATACAGAGATATTTGTACTCGTTTTGGGTGTTATTTGTACTCTGCTGAGTGAAGTTGAATAATAATACATGTTACTCTTTTCAGCAGCATGAAAAATGAAACTTACCTTTCTCATCAGTTCTTCTTTTAATTTCAACAGACAGTACATTTCCAAATGACTTGAAACGATCTCTGTGTACATGTCACAGTGAAAAAAGAAGGTTTAACTTTAACAGTGCATGTTAAGCCACAGAAATACTGCCATACTGTAACAGTTACTAACACTACTTGAAAGTTTGAGACTAAACTTTTAAGCAAAAAATAGAAAAGGCTAACAACTAAGGCCAAAAGACTAAACAAACAGATCAAATAGTTTATAATCATCACTTAGAAAATGGTGTTTTTATATCCTGCTGAAAAAAGTTACATGGCATGGGTTTCCTTTCCTTCCTTTTTCAATCGCTAAAGCACCTATAACTTTATCTTTTACTCCAATCAGTTTTCCTGATTGGATGAGAGGCATTACAGTCAAACCAGGTGAAGCGTTCCCGTCACTAACGAACTAATAAATTCATTAACGGAAAAATGATTTCGTTTGTTGATTCAATAATCCATTCATAAAATGAACAATCCAATATTCATATTTAGCCTCGATTCCATAATCGAATGTTGATTCGATTACTGTTTTTTAAAAAACTACACTTTTTTTCTTCTTTTTTTCTAAGAGTCGAGTGCGGGCGAGTTCTGAAGTTCAAACCCAAACAAACAGTGACATGTACGCCAATCAGTTCAACAGACCTGACCTCTTAGAAAACACGATAGTCAAACTGAGGTCAGTGTATGTGCGGTGATCGGTGGATTTCGATCCCCGGCCTTTGTCAGTTTCTTTGCGTTTGCGGTCTGTCTCTTCTAGCTGTTATTTTGATTAAAGGCAATTAAAAACGCAATCGTAAACGGCAGGAAAAGGGAAGCAAATACGATTGAACTCAACAGACAAGAATAAAAAACAGGTAGATTTTGTTCATAAACCAAATCAACATTTAATTATTGAATCGAGGTCCAATTTGACTGTTGGATTATTCATTTTATGAATGGATTATTGAATCAACAAACGAAATCATTTTTCCATTAATGAATTCATTAGTTTGCTAGCGACGGGAACGCTTGACCTGGTTTGACTGTAACATGTCAGGAAGATAGAAAGTGTGTGTATGGAAATATCTCAGTTGCAGGCTTTAAATGTGTGCATAGGTCTAGCATCTATTATTTTTCGCATTAATCTGTTGCCTTTGAAAACGCAAGTGTCTAAAAAGGTTATTTCTATGTCAAACATATCAGGCCATTGTTCAATGCAACAAACCTAAGGTCCACTTCTGTTATATCACTGTACAGTCCGCCTATGAACAATCGCTTAGTTTCCATTTTTCCAACCTTCTGTAATTAAAAAAATAAATAAATAGGGATTTATTTATAAAATATCCTTTTGAAATGATCAACAAAAGGATCAACGACAAAGGACATAAGCAAGTACCATAATTAATCAGTATTTAAGAGCACAGTGTACAATCGGTACTCAAGAATTTCAGGGAAAACTACTTCTCTATCTGCCAAATTTGCCAACAAAATCTAGTCAATACAGAGAAAAAGTAACTACTAAATCTCACGTACCTTAAGCAGAGGGATTAAATAAAACCTGAGCCATACAAATGCTAAGACACATATAACATCATTTCTCGAGTTCGTCCGCCATTTTCTGACTGCTCGGTTAAGGCTGGACACTAGCACTCAGTTTCTTAGTATCCTCGTGGTTACTCGGTCAACCCGACGTAGGCGAAGGAGAGCAAAGGGTAGTCATAAAAGTCATTAAATTCATCTGTATCGAGAGTGCTTTCCGTTTGAAACCAATTAGTACCTTGAACTGCTTAATAATAAGTCATAGCACCTTTTCTACATTTTCTTTGCTTTCTTTGCTTAAAGGCTTTTTTCGAACCGGATAGTTCGGAATACGAAGAATTGGGCAACGGGAATTGAAAGGGATAATAATATGCTGAGCATTACAAGAACTGAATGACTAAGCCTGGAGGGGGTTGGGGGTTTCTTGGATTAATTTTTGCTGGGTATGTGCCGCTGACCGTGGCCTCTCAGAGCCCCTACTCCATTATAGTGTATTCTGTGACCAGTTATGGACCCCATCTTAGTCATTTTAGGGCAAATGTAATTTTCGCGATCCCAACTTAATAGCTTTCTATTTTTTTTTAACAACAACAACAAGAAGTTTATTTCAAATTAAATATAGCTTATTTATGTATCTACCTTATCAATCCTTTAAATAGGTCATCCTAAAATGAATTGACCCATTTTTTTACATTGGATGACGAACACTTTACTTTTCACCTACAGTAAAAACCATTCTGGCACGTTTGCAAACCGTAAATATGAAGACTAAAACTTTCTTACCCAAAAAAATCCGAAAATATGCAACCCAATTCTAGTAACTCTGATTGAAAATGCAACCCCATTATAATCAAACCAGTGGTGAAAATGCGACCCCATCCGGCGGGCACATCCCCATTGGCCTCTTTTAAAGAAATACCCCCATCCCCCCCTCCCCCTCCCGCTGGAGATCACTTTTCTGTGTTTTCACTGTCACACCATCAAAAATAAAAATGCAACTGAACCATGCAGTCAATACAGAGAGTCCAGAATCTGGGAAATGAGGGAAGTTAAATATACAAAAGCCTCGCCAAGAACCAGGTCTGTCCAATAATCCATATGCGAGATATTCGAAAACACGTTTTTCCCAAATTTATAAGGCTTTGTATGGAGACGCCATGTTGGTGTCCCATTGAAGGGCGCAAATATGGCCGCCGGAAACCTAATTAATACTGAATACGAACTTCCTAAAGATTTTAAAAGCATGATAACTAAGGCTAAAAACGACATTAATGTGGTTAATTCGTATGTCGTAGTTATTGACCACAGACAAGTTAATGTCGTTAAATGGGCCATTTGGTATCGATGAAGATATAGTGCCATTAATTTAATGTCCAAGTCCGTCGTTAATTTTCTTATGGAACATTTTCATTGCTGCGAGACTTATTTAAGCTGTTTTTCAAACATTGAAGTGGGATGAATAAATTAGCTTCGTGGGATTGAAAACAGGAAAATTAATTTACAAAACGGATTAAAAAAACATTACTTGTGTACCTGAGCTCTTGATGTTGTCATTGCAAAAAAAGTAAAGAATTAATGATGGTATTGAAAACCTCTTAAGGTCCTTTTCGTTTGTTGTTTGTTTATTTGTTTATTCATTATATTTTCAGCATGGATTGATATCAAGTTTCTGGTCACAAAGTCAGAGTCTGAGTTTGTTTGTTGGAGAATCAATGTTGAAATAATGGAAACTTCAGCCTGTCAAAATCCACCAAATCTAACAACATCGATCTCTACTTAAGCTTCTCCCCATCTTAACAGGCTGCTCGACAAAAATGAAAAACTTAATTTCTCCGACGTTCAGTGACCCCGTGGCTTACGCTGGCTTATGCATAAATTAATGAGAGTAGTTCAGAGGGTATTTTGTATTTTTTTGTTCTGCTTTATTTCGGTGTGCCGAACTCATAGAAGCTTTAGTTACACTGCTTCGCTGATGGCGAAGGAGGGCGACGATAAAAAGACAGTCGTGACCGATCACACCGAACATTCCATTTGTGAAATAAATTACCCCCGTAGCCTCAGTTAAGCTTAAAATATTAGAAATGTAATGATGGATTTTACGGGCATTTTGTAACAGAGCAGTTGACAACTTAAAGAAAATATGAATAAACCAACAAACAATCGAAGAAACGTCTTAAGGTAACTGGCACCAAGAAAGACGATACTGGACACTGCTCTTGAATGTTTTTCGCTGATTGGCGGGGAGAATGATACGCAGGTGATTCTGAAGCCCTATTTTGAACCAATTACAAACGGAAGCAAAAGCTATACTAAAGGTTTGTGTGCAAGATGTCTTTAGACACTAATGTGCAATACCGGCTCTATTTGAGTCACAGTAATAGTGCTTTTAATTGTGGCTCTAATGGAAAAATCCTACTGTTTCAATTACACAAACTAGGTCCAAGATATTTTTCTAAAGCTTTACAAAGACCAGTTCCAAGCGGAACAACCAAAATAAACAAGGAAATAAGAAAATATATACTGTTCATAATTGATTGAAGGGGATGAGAAAGTACGGATTATAAATGTTTTGGAAGTCTTGGTGATGTTTGGGTCAATAAAATATAATAATGTTCATAGGGATTGCAGAGTGCTCCATTTACGACAGTCATCAATGTACGGACAGTTTTCAATTAGCCGAGGAAAAGTTTGCAGGTGATTTAGTTGGAATTATCGGTGATTCGGAGAAATTCATAATCATGTCAAAATAAACAAAAAATTAGTGAAAAGTTGCTTGCAATACAGGTTAGAAGCCTGAGTAGTTCGCAAACAAAAACAAAAGTAGAAGGAAATTGAGAAAGAAGTCAACAAAGAAGTAAAGAGAGCCAGAAATTTCTTAGTATGCGAGATGAAACACATTTGGGTTAAAAAGGCGGCAAAACTATGTTTCAGTCTGTATTCACTTTCATAGTACTAAACGTGCCGGCTCGAGATAGCTATATCCCTAATAGTGCTTTTCATAAGGAACATTTCCTAGTAAAGAAGTAATGACAGCGGAAGAAATAAATTGGAATGGTTAGGCTTCATCCGGGGCTATTGAGCACAGCACCGATACTGAAAGTAAATGGATTAATAGTACGCTTGATTGTAAACCGCCTGTGATACTTAAATATAACTTGATGTCCTTAAGTCCATTTTCAATTTTTATGGTATAAAGGTTATTTTTCATTGCTGAGAGGCTCCATCAAAATATTTGGAAAGTATGCAGTGGGGTACAGATGACGAATCAAGGTGAAATTACAAACCTCGAAAAAGAAATTTAAATTTTAAGGTTTTTTTTTTTTTTAATAATCGTCGTAAAAATAGAACGACATGTTTTTCTAACACGGATATGCCTGGTTTCCAAGTTTTTGCAGGAGATGGAAGATTATATTAAACCAAAAATAAAATAAAATAACTTAGCGATGAACTAGATCTCAGGTAAAGTCACGAATGCAATGAACGCAGACGTATCAGTATTCCAGTC